ATATATATATATATATATATATATATATATATATATATATATATATATATATATATTGGAAATTACATTTCCTAGGTCTGGACAGTTTCAGCCATACAAAGAGCTAAGTGTGACAATGACGGCCGTATGTCGAAGCTCACCTTTTTCACCACCCAAACCGGATTGGCAACCTCGTGCGATCCCGGAGCACGAAGTGTGAGCAGTCCTAACGTGTCCAACAACAAGGGCATGGCGGAATAGCTGATTGCGCAAGCAATAAACACAGAACAAATAGGATCAGCTACATTCCATCCATATGTGGACACAAGGAATGAGCTGACAATCACCCCGACGCTGCCTAGCGTGTCAGCCAACACGTGAAGATAAACACCTGTGATAGATCGATGGGATATGGTGAAAAGGTATAATTTACCAATGAAAAGGCACAAATGTATATGGTAAGCGTACATTTATATGGGCACATTGCCAATATTATTCCAGAAACATCGCTTTAGGTGGAGCGATTTCATTGAGGATCCCAGGCAATAAATAAACTTTCGCTACAAAAGGGCAAATAACACCTAATATAGTCTATCGATTAAGCTTTACATAACTCTTTTGTTGTTGGATGACACCTTTCGATGGTTTTCAAGGAGGTGAAAGTTCGTTGTTGATGCTAGCGCAATTTATTGCAAAACAACACGATAGTAAATAAGTCGATATAAATAAAACAATTAGGGTTTTCGTGGGAGAGCAAGATGCGGTAACCAAATAACGGAACGTGATGTTGTGCTTTCAAAAAAGATTTCAGATAAGAATAAGGTTATGATGAATGGAGAAAACTCAATGTGTACACTTACTAGGAATTACAGTGAATTAGTGGTTGCAATACGCTTGATAAACAGTGAATAACCATGATAACTGCGCAATCCCTCATTCGGTGGTCCGAAAGCGAAATGAGAAAACATTGTAAGCTGATGGTGAAGCTGATATGATGTGTTTTGGACCGTCTGGCTATGCACTTCTCAAATAAAACAAAACACATCAAAAGAGTGAAAAAGAAACTGAGAAATCCCGCGCGAATCAAGAGAAAAGATGTCAGCAGTATATGAGTCGCTTTTGGAACTTGAGGAGAAAAGAAACGTTGACCTATTTCGATAATCCATTCCGAATGTAACTTTGCGTTGTGAATGCTTAACTGGGCGAAAATGTTCTCTCGGATGTGTTCTCGGAGTGTCGAGCCACCATAGTATTTAATAGCGTCCACCTGTTTCGTTTTATCGGTTACGTTGTTACCTACCATACTTAAATTTATGCTACTGTATATTTTGATAGTAGATAGACAAATAACAAAAATTGGGAAACTTGCCTCGCAGATTGGTGTCAGATCCGTGCTCACGCGAGTGGTGATGATCGTGTTGTTTTTTCTCATGAACGTGCCCGTAATGAATAACATTCTCCTCGTGACTATGACCGTGTTTCGCTTCTGCATTGTGACTGTGACTGTGTGATACAACACAATCATGACCATGATTAGGGGCGTGGCTGTGACCGTGTCCATGTCCATGTCCGCCACTACCCCCACCGTGACTGTGCGCATGACCTAACGCCACAATGCCCACCAAATTGACAAGCAAACCAGCCACCGATACGGCCTATGAGTGTATTGGGACATAAAAGATGCAGTTGTGTACTGACAGAAAGTTAAGATTGGTGGCATGAATTCATAGTGCCATAGCAACTGGACACCTGTTTGGTTCAGTACATGATCAGCCTCCACAACTGTCAATCAAAAAAATTCATCAAATACCAGTAACGATGAACTTACTGGGTAATAAACAGAGGAGGAAAAGGTAATGTAACCACCTGTTTTTGAGTCATTTCTTCCTAGATA